ACCCCCCCACCCTTCTCGAACCCCACATCGGGGTCTCTGCTCAGTGGGGAGCCTGCTTCCCCCTATCTCTCTGCCTGCCTCTCTGCCTACTTGTGATCTCTCTCTCTCTGTCAAATAAGTAAATAAAAAATCTTTTAAAAAAATCAGTTGAGTTAGTTTTGTGCAGTACTTCTACAAAATAGCTATTTGTATACCAGCTATGAAAACCAAATTGTGTGATTTTCATGATTTCACACGAGCTAAAGGTTTGAATTTAAAACTTATTATGTTTGAGTTTAAAACGCTGTCATTGCACAATGTAAAGATGAAGGATGGATTATTTTAAATTTTCATTTTTTTTTTAAATAGAAGGGCATTAAATAACAAAGAAAAGATGATGATAAGTTGGTAAGTGGCAGACACTGGGACAAAAGAGAAAAGCTTTATTTTTTAGTACCTTTATCTGCACATTTTTCCCGCTCGTTGAATGAAGGGTACAGCACTTTTGTTTGGCACTGGGCCCCCAAATCATGCAGCTGGCTCTGCTGAAGACTTTTCAGTTGCAACTGTGTGCCTTATTTTTACTAATTATGGCTGAGAGGATTACATCAGTACAAGCACCATATTCCTGAGTTATAGAAAGGGAAGATCAAGTTTGTGGCTCTTTGAAAATTCCTTAAAAATTTTCTTGGCTCTTCCAAGAAGTAAAACTAATACCTTCTCAAACACAATAACCAAAATAGTTTTTTTTTTTAATTCTATTTCTTCTTTAATGATATTGCCTTATTTTATCATGAGGATTACATTTTTTTCCTACTCATTTTCATGGAAAAGATCTAGTATTTCAGCTGTACTATGGGTTACATAGACTTTGGCCAGCATAGGAGCCACAATAACCACATGTTTTCTAGGGCTGGGTTGTATAACTTACCATCATCTGTCTCTAGGAGAAATGTGTTTTAAGTGCCAAATAACTAACTTACAAACTTTTTTCCCATAGCCTGTTTGCAAATCAAGAGCTATCTCCTTTTGGTTTACATTTTCCTATGGTTCAAAGATTATGCTAGATAGATATACTAAATTTGCTTAAAGATAGGAAAATTTGTTAATGTTTATTTTAGAGCTTGGAGAGTTATTGTCCTTTGGATTAGCCGGTCAGGAAGAGGCAGGACATATGAACAGGAAGCAGAATACAGAGGGGGAAAAGGTTTCAAATTTTGTACCAGGATTCAGACATTTCCTACTCATTTTCTTGCTTCTGTAATGACTACTAGGGATACTTATTTTAAGTCATTTTTAATCACTCCTTTCTTTAGTCATTCAGTCATTCAAACCCTCAGAGATTAGGCATTCTCTATGAAATTTTCCTATGAGAATAGAGAAAAATTTCAAAGTGCTATTTTTCTTCAAGAATTTTATTCATCTTCATTCAGTATGAAGAGTCAGGCATTTTAACTTGAAAAGAAAAAGAAAATAATAAAAATAAACGATAAATGATAAAATAGAAAAAATTCCCTGTAGTCTTTATGTCAGTTGTGGTCACGTTTAATAGTTATTCTCCTGTGTATTAAAATCCATCTTTTCCAATTCATCTTTTGAATGCCTAATCTTCTCAATTGTTACCACCATAATTTGAAACTGGCAACAGTAGCCATAAACAATTACATGTATTTGGACTTTTAGGTCATAAGCTCAATATAAACCAATTTTTCCTGTCTTGAGTTCTATTCTTGCTATATTTTATTACCCCTTCCCCCCTTGGCTATATTCTAAGATTTCCCTACCATGTAGGGGAAGTAGTTTATAAAAGGACAAGTACACATGTAATTTAATTGGTCTGTTTAGGTAAACTTAACATTATGTTTTTAAAAAGTACATTTATATGAGAAAGCCTTCTTTTAGTAAGATGATTTTTCTGACATGTTTTGTTTATAGAACATGTGTACTTTTTACAAAAGAAGGGACCGTCACAGATTGTAAATTAAAAAGGGAAGTCTTGCCATCATTTCTCTTATTGAACCTCTAGTGTTTGTTTGCAAAATGTGTCCCTGATGCAGTCTTCATTTAATTTCATAGCTTTTAAAGAATGGTGGTTTATTTTATTTTTATGAAGACTGTTCTTCTCTCAAGACGTTCTTAGGTTAAGTTTATTTCCCAGGTTAATTACTTTTATTAAAAATTGTTTTTGTGGGGCGCCTGGATGGCTCAGTGGTTAAGCCTCTGCCTTCTGCTCAGGTCATGATCTCAGGGTCCTGGGATCAAGCCCCATATCAGACTCTCTACTCAGCGTGGAGTCTTCTTTCCCCTGTCTCTCTGTGTACTGCTCTGCCTACTTATGAACTCTCTCTCTATCAAATAAATAAATAAAATCTTTAAAATAAATTGTTTTTGTGTGCAACCTTAGACAGACTTACGTGCCAGTACTACAGTCATTGTTCATATTGGGAAATATGAGGGACCACTGAAATTATCAGAGATTGCATGCTCAGAAATCTCCAGTTTGGAGATTATTCCACTGTCATACAGCAGCAACAACAACCGCAAACACCCAGTGGTTTTAAAACGTCTACTGTGTATCAGATTAAAAACAACAATTGTTATTTCCTTTACACTTCAGGATAATCCTGTGAGATACAATTCTAGGGCTAACTGGTAATTCTAGTACCACCCCACCCTTGCCAAAGGGCTTTTAAACGCTTACGTTGGCACATTAACATGTGTAAATATTATTTCCATATTCTTTTTGTACATTAAAAAGTCTAAGTGGGAGAGAGTTTAGGGTTCCTTGGGTCCTCAACAGCTAATAGCCATGCCTGGTTATTTCCAGAAACGCAGCCAACCCACTAACAGGGGACTAATTCTTTTAGTGCCTCTGGAAACCCTGTTCATTGTATTGACTGCCGCATTCCCTGCAGCAGTCTTCAGCCATGGGACCTGGTTTCCTCTACTACACCCAGCACAAATTTGTTACCCTCTTCCTTCCCTTCTGTGGGTCTCAGATTACCTATGTGTGAGATCAGAAACTTGGATAAAGTTTTCCTGGACTATCCCTGAACTGACTGTAGAGGTCAGAGGAAGTAAGAGGAGGAATCAGGAAAAATGAATCAACTATCCTCCCAAGGTCTGAGAAAGGCAGACCTACGGCGTTAAATTCGGGGGTGGGGATGTGGGAGGAGCACAGGGTCGGATGGGGAGAGGGTGGGGAGGGGGTGGGGGTGGGGAGGGGGTGGAGAGGGGGTGGGGAGGCGGTGGGGAGGGGGTGGGGAGGCGGTGGGGAGGGGGTGGGGAGGCGGTGGGGAGGGGGTGGGGAGGCGACAAGCTGAGAGTAAGGTACACGCCACGTAGCGGCGTCTCCTCTGACTCTCAGACCCTGAGTCAGAGACCGCACAGCGCCCGGCCCGGCCCTCTCCGGAAGCCCCGCCCGCTCCGGGAGCCTAGCTCACGCCACGCCCCTGCCTCACTAACTGCGTCGACGGTGAACTACATTTCCCAGAATGCCATTCAAGCCGCCCCTCAAGGCGGCGAAGTCTAGGTGACGCCATCAGCCGGCGCGATGTTTAGACTCCAGTGATGTCGTGGCGCTTTGGGGAAAGAACTTGGTGTTTTTCTGGGCCCTGGTACTGAAGACGCCGTCCGGGGGACCCCTGGCCCCTTCCTATCCATCCCTCCATCTGCTTTTTTCTTCCCTACTCTGGCAGGATGAGGCGTGCAGGCCTGGGTAAGAAGAGGGCTGAGGTTCGAAGTTCGGGGGCTCCAGAACCGGCCGTGCTGGGCGCGGGGACGCGGAAGGAAATCAGACCAGTTCTTATGTCACTGGAACCTGGGCTAGAAAGCAGGATGTATGGGGGGGGGGGGGGTCTTTGGAGGCGGAGCCAAGTAGACACACACCATTTGTATCAGATCCTAGGGGTTTGCTTTAGTTTGGTTCAGCCCAAGTTTGAATGGTACATTTATAGAAAGATAGTAGTGGAGGATTGGGGGTGGGGTATGTACAGGTGCCAGCTGAACTACCAAAGTTTTCTTGTATTATCGACTGTCAGAGAGTGATTACGAAACCTGCTGAGTTCCTCAAGTCTGGCTTCGGTTTCTTGTACTCCACTCGTCCTGGGATGTTAGTTTTTTCAGAAGCGAAATTTGAAGAATGAATGTTGCATGCGAAGCACACTATTAACAATCATATTAATCTGGTAACAGTGAGTTACAAAGGTAAATGTACCTGTCGTTATTGTTAAAGGCCGTAGTATGTAACATCAGGGTCAAAGTCCATTAAAACCCAGAACATTTTTTTTTTTTTTTTTAAATATTTTATTTTTTTTTTTTTTTTTTTTTTTTTTTTAAAGATTTTATTTATTTATTTGTCAGAGAGAGAGAGTCGGAGAGAGAGCAAGCACAGGCAGACAGAATGGCAGGCAGAGGCAGAGGGAGAAGCAGGCTCTCTGATGAGCAAGCAGCACGATGAGGGACTCGATCCCAAGACGCTGGGATCATGACCTGAGCCGAAGGCAGCTGCTTAACCAACTGAGCCACCCAGGCGTCCCATAACCCAGAACATTTTTTTATCTGAGTCTTGTTCCAGTGTGAAAACTTAGGAAACAGTTTCACCAAGCACAAGGACTTTTAAGGGGCCATTATAACGGACAGCTAATAAAAACAGCATATTCTGGGTTTTGAAGCTCTATTAAGGGAGTATTTAAAAAAAAAAAAAAACGTTAAATCAGCGTGCAGCATACCTGAAAATATGTAGAATATTTGAAAAAAGTAATGTTACCTTTTTCAGTGGTTGCAATAAAATGAAAAAGGAATAAAAAATTTTTTCAGAAGTGTCAGGTATTTATTTTTTTTTAAGATTTTATTTATTTATTTGACAGACAGAGATCACAAGTAGGCAGAGAGGCAGGCAGAGAGAGAGGAAGGGAAACAGGCTCCCCGCTGAGCAGAGAGCCCAATGCGGGGCTCGATCCCAAGACCCTGAGATCATGACCTGAGCTGAAGGCAGAGGCTTCAACCCACTGAGCCACCCAGGTGCCCCTGTGAGAAAGAGCTTTTGAAAAATACAGCTTTTTATGAATACTTGGATCCTAGAAAGTTGGCCAGGTAAATTGTAGAGAAAAAAAAATAGCTAATATTGAGCAGTTTAATTTTATATGCCTAAATGTTATTTTTATCATTATTAATGATAACAGACATTTATTGTGTATTTGAGTAAGTTCTAGGTATACAGTTGATTATGGCCCTGTTTGTGCTCCCACAGCTTGCAGTCTGGTTGGTAAGTAAGAACATGTATGAAGATAAATTATAGTACAAGGTGACAACTGTACATCCAAAGAGGAGATAAGTTATAGAGCTAGTGTCTCAGGGATTCCAGAGATAGAGCACTGCTTACTTTGTAGAAACTTAAGAACTTGAACTAGAACTTGATCAATGGAGGGTGAGAGAGGCACGTTCCAGTTGGAAGCAAGACTCTCCTACCCCTCCTCGTACCCCCGAAAAATTGGAGGATAGGATTAAGCATGGTGTGTATATGGGATTATTATTAAGCCAGTGTGATTGAGATAGGAAACATGAAACCAGAACCCCACTGAGGGGATAACTTTTAGTGCCAGGCCAAGGAGTTTCGATCTCATCAATAGGTCCTTTGACTCCCTTGAATGTTTTTGTGCAGCAGTGTGCCATGATAAATTGCAGAAAAGGGACTTGAGAAGTTGTGGTTCTCAGCCCTGACTGTACATTAGAATCGCCTGGAGAGCTTTTAAGGCACTGATACCTGGACTGCAGCCTAGACTAATTATATTAGAATCTCTAGGATAGAATGTTTTCCCATCCCCCCACTCCCTGAAGCTCCCTTGTAGTTGAGTGGAAGGATGCTTACTTAAGTGTCTATTATCATTTACATAGGTATGATGTGATTCTTTTTATTCTGGATTTTTTTTTTTTTTAAGTATCAGATTGAATTGACCTGGAATTTTAAACTTGGGATAAATAATGAAGCTGATAGGTATTCATGTGGCACACTTCCCATGAATCTCTAAATGATTTGGCTCAGTTAGGGTAGAAACTAAAGAAGTAGCATTTGTCTAAATAGACACAGGCTGAGGGTGATTTTTGGCATTCACTAGCTTTCCTACAACTTCTCATGCTATATTTAGAGTTTTATGGATAGTGTATCAGCAATGGAGGGAGAATTTGAGGACTGCACCTCTTTCTCCCGGAACATACTTGTTTAACATTTTGTTGTGGTTTTTGTAGTGGTGGGAATTGTGTAAGTGTCTGCTGCATTTAGTCATTAGGTATAGAATATAGAAGTATGAGACATTGTCTCTGCCCTCAAAGAAGTTTATGATTTCCTTCTTGGCAAAGGCAGGCGCATTCAAAGTTGACTAACAGTGAAGTCAGATTGTATTAATTCATATATGAGTGTTTTTTTAGTGTGCCTTACTGTGCATTGTGTGTGTGTGTGTGTGTGTGTGAGTACACTTTGTGGGGGATATACAGCCATGAGTGAAACAGATTTAGTTTCTACCTTTACAGTATCCTCTAGAGTATGATACTAGTGTTGTGTGTAGTTAAGAGTTGTAAGAATTCAGAGGGAGTTTTGCCTTTGAAAGAAAGTGAGGTTTGTGCCATATCTTGAAAGAGCCTTTACACCCCAACCATTTACACCCCAACCATCCTTCAGCTACCAGCACTGTTACTTCCTGTCCTTCCATCTTTCACTGTGTCTCTGGCTTCATCTATTCTTTGAGTTTACAGAGACCTAGTCTCTCTATCACCCCTTTCCTTCATTTCTCCATTGAAACTGCTTCTGTCCCTGTCCAGTGTAGTCCCCACATTCCATATATTCAGCTTCTCTTTTGGCAAGCAAGCTCAGCCTCTTGGGGCTCTTTTCTTCAGCCCTAACGCTGTAAACCTCTTGATCAAACTCTTGATCAATCCAACCATCCACATTCTTCCAGGCTAACTGGTTGATGAGCACTTCTTCAGAAAAATCACACATCCGGGAGGACTGACACCACCACAGTATGTTGCCTCAGCCAGGATCATTTCATCCCCTTAGGACTTGTGTAGTCCTAGTCATTTTCCCCCATTATTCTCCTTACTGATTTTTCCAAATGATACCCTTCCTTAAAGACAGTCTTATTTCTTCCTTTACTGAGAAAATTGATGGTATCAATTGTTTAAAAAAAAAAAAGTGGTTAAACAACACCCTGCTTTCCTGTCGCAGTCCTCTAGCACATTTGTATACAGATTCACTCTCCAAGGCTCATGCCACCTGTTTGATTGCCTGATGAATACCAAGTACTTTATTAGGCAGTCGCTGGGACTGTGTATTCTCAGTGCAATTCCCTAGAAGATAGGCTCCCAACAGTAGTACCCAGAAAGAAAAATGGATCTGATGCATAGGAGTTTTGGAAATATTTGTTGAATGTGTGTCCCTCTTAACTCTCAGCTAATGTTATCCATAAGTAATTCCAGCTCTCTTCTATTTAAAAGGAAGAGATGCCAGTAAAGGATTCCCCCCCCCCACCACCCCTGCCCCGCCCTGCCACGGGCTTCCTCCTGCTATGTTTATCCTCTTTCTCCCTTTTCCTTCATCGCCAGGCTTCTTCAATGGACAGTTGATGCTACTACTTTTGAATCCTTTTTAAAATTTGTAGTTCTGTGGAGCAGGAAATGTATCCTGAATATCCTTGTATATCAGTGCCTATTAACGTCTTGTGGACAATCAATAAACAATCAATAAATAAGTATAAGAATGAATTGAACATTCTTTGCTTAAAAGAGGGCATTAGAATTGTTCTGATCTCTATTTGGTTATTAATCTTAAAAATTTCTTTGAAGTGTGAATATTATAGACATACGTGGTCTGCAACGCCCTCCAGGGGTCTTTTTTGGTTCTTTCCTATCAAGGTTTCAAAAGTGGCTTGTTTTTGCTACAACTATACTGTGATTCTGATCCTTGCAGGTGAAGGAGTACCTCCTGGCAACTATGGGAACTATGGCTATGCTAACAGTGGCTATAGTGCCTGTGAAGAAGAAAACGAGAGACTTACTGAAAGTCTGAGAAGCAAAGTAACTGCTATAAAATCTGTAAGTATTTAACAGATGTTATATACTTTCAAATTTATGTATTTATGTACATATTATAAACTATTATTATTGGCATCATACTAAGGAATTCAGTTACCCAAGTTGTGTATTATTCAGAAAGGTCAAAATGCACTCAAAATATAAATATGATTTAAGTAGAAGATTAGAAAACGTGGCCAATCAAAACATATGGTACATTTGTTTATTTTTTTTAAACTTCCACTTTTTTGGTGTGTGGGTACATCTACAGTACTGTATGTTGTCTGTAGTAATGTCTCAGAGCAGTCTATCTTCTGGCCCCACGCAGCTCTTTTCCTGACTTTTCTTCTTCTTGTATTCTAAGCTACACATCTCAGTGTTTCATATTTCTACCTTTGTACCCCAGGTCAGTCAACTGAGTTTAGTACTTCTTTCTTTCTGTCTCTTCTTTTTTATTTCTGATACTATCCCCTGGTTTTCTTGGCTGAACTACTGAGAGAGCCTTTTAACCTGTTTGTTTCTCATTTATTGCACTGTCTGTTCTGAGCTATGTACTGTTGCCACAGCCACCTTATCTTTTTGGGCTGTTTTTAAAATTGTATGAATACAGTATATGTTAATTTAAAAAAAATGCATCATATGCTCCCGGAAGTCTCCAGTGTCTCCATATGTAAGAATGGAATTCACGCTCTGTAGCTTGATCAAATAGGTCCTTCAGAGATTGTCCACAGCTTTTCAGACCTTATGCCCCACACTTTTCGAATGTGTATATGTTTTCTGCAAGACAGCTAGAGTACTCTTTGTGTGTGTGTGCTGGCTGTCACTTGCACTCCCATACCTTTGATCCTGCTATTCCTTTGCCTTAGCGATGTCCCATCCCTCCTTATCTTCACTAAATTTGCCCATAGTAAAGGCTCCCCTTCACTGTACTCCTTCCTTCTTGAAAGCTTTACCTGATTACCACATCAAAAGTCACTTTTTTCCCATGTGATCATAAGACCATTTGTACCATTTCTCTAACATAGGGATCTGCATTGGAATTATTGGTACGTAGAAGAAATTTACCAGAATGTAGGGTTTTTCTATTGTACTTACTTTTATCTTTTACATACCACCTAAGCATAATTTCTTATTAGTGGTACTGAGCTTAATATGTATTAAATAAAGGAATTGCAAAAAGGTGATCCTAACAGCATATGTGATTGATTCTGTATTACGTTAAACGTGCTCTACACTAATAGAGCATTCAGTAGAAGCTCATGTTGCCAAAACTTAATTGGTATTTCATTAGTCTTTGGAAGATAGAATTGTATTCAGCCTGAAGACTATTACATCTGAAACGAGTATTGTTTTCAAAGTCGTATTAAATCAAAAGGAGTTGATCAATGAACTAAGTAATATTGTATAATGTTACAATTTAGAAAATCAATATTTAGAGGGAATTAAGAATTAAATGTTTTTTGGGTTTTTTGTTTTGTTTTGTTTTTTAAACTCCAGTTGATAATTTAGGCTCCTTGTTAGAAGAAAGCTTTTTCCCTCCTGGAAAGTTCTTTCTTTGGCATGAATGACAGTTGTAGAAAGTTGTTAGGTGATTTGGGATATTTAGCTTTATAGTTGTTTTTTTTACCTCTGAATTGCTAAATTTGGAAAAAAGCTCATGTTCTGATCTATAGAATTCTAGTATGGTTTTGTATCAGAATCACCCCATATGCTTTCCACACAAGATAAGTTGAGAATAATATTTGCAGCAGTTTGCCAAGATTTTCATTTGTTGCTTGTAATTTATCCAAATATCTTGGAAGTGAAGCCTTTGATGAATTTTCATATAAAGTATTAAATACGTTTTGGCCTGAATAGCAGCCATAACCACATAAATAGTATTTCTTTTAGGTTCAGCCTCTTTCGGCATAGCTCAGAGTGGAGGTAACAAAACTTGTCATTTTTTTTTTCCAATTTATTACCATATTTTATTTTTGAAGATTTTTATTTATTTGACAAAGAGAGAGAGAGCACAAGTGCATGCACGCACAAGCAGGGGGAGCGGCATGCAGAAGGAGAGGGAGAAGCAGACTCCCCTCTGAGCAGAGAGCCTGATGTGGGGCTCAATTATAGGTCCCTCAGATCATGACTTGAGCTTAACCAACTGAGCCACCCAGGCGCCCATATTATCATATTTTAAAGAAAAATAACCTTTAGAATCTAAATAACCAGTTTAGGTATATATTCAAAGTAATGTCCCATTTCATTAAAAAAATATTAAATACTTAATGTAGATTTGAATTGGTAATATGGGTACTTGTATATATCTTTTAAAACGTAAAGAAGAAAATACACAGATAAGTGCTGTTGTTTAAATATAAAGAGAGGAAGAAAAAAGCATGCAAGGCCAAGAGAATCAGAAGTATGTATCAAAATTAAAAGATGGAATTAAGTATTAAGATGAAATCAAAATGAAGAACAGGGAGACAATAGCCATAGTTGAGAAGGAGTAGAAATTCTAAATTTCCTTTTCATGTCAGTGGGAGAAAATATCAGAAGAAAGTTTATGTATTTTATATTTTCAGAAGACAGTTTTATTTGAGAAAAAGTATGTTTAGAGTGGTATTATTTTTACTTTATAACACTCAAATACCTTTATATGAGTAATAACATAATGTGCTTTTTTAAAATAGCTCTCCATTGAAATAGGCCATGAAGTTAAACATCAAAATAAATTATTAGCTGAAATGGTAAGTAGTTCTGACTTTAAATTGAAATTTGATCTAATATTCTCAATGTTAGTCTCTTAATCAGGAATAATACCATTTTAACTTTTATCCATTTTGAAATTAGAGATCATAAGTCCTGGATTCCTGCCCTTTTGTATCTCATTGCTTTGAAATAACTAATAAGTTTATTTATTTTCCCATTTTTCACCTTGCCTAACACAAATGGAAGGAGGAGGTAGAAGCCATTGTAACTTTCATCTTGTATTTAGAAACACTGTTAAAGACTCAGGACAAATGACTATTTTGAGTGTTCTTAGAAATCTCAATGAATACAGATACCAAGTAATCAAAAAGCTCCTCATATTCAATCAGCTGAATGTCTTTGACTTAATGTGAACCCATTTCTTTTGCTTAATCTCCTCAGGATCACTCCTGAACAAATAAGATTTGAACATAGTAACATCCCAGAGCCTTTCATCTCAAGTCTCAGTGAGCTCAGCAACATACACCTTTTCTTGTAGCATCTCTTTCCATTCTTGAATGCTTATTTTGGATGTTATTTCTCTGGACCTTCCCTAGTCTCTCCACTTGCTTTTAAAATTGTATTATTAAAAAATGAGGATGGCATTAAAAAATAAATATGGCATTGAGAGCAATGTTTGTATGGAGGTTGTACATCAGAATCACCGGGGGACCTTTCAGGAAATATTTATGCCTGGTTCCCAATTTAAATATACTGATAAGAGAATTTCAGGGGCAAGGGATTTACACATACTTATTATGAAAAAAGGGAGTGTCCCAGGTCATTGTGATACATAACCCTGGTGAAGAACTATAGATCTAAAGTGCTTGAACTCCATAAAACTTGAGCTGTGCAGAGGCTATCATATACCTTTACATCTTAGGATATTGAGATTTCTATGAAAGTGGAGTATTTCTAATCCACACCTAGACCTCTCATCTTTAGGACTTAATATGGTAGTTTTCCCCATTCATATTTGTACTCTTAACCACATTTTACCACTTCTACATGATTTCTCTTAACTTTTAATAGACTCTACTGTACTTCAAGGTCAGCCATCTAAATAAAAAGATCTTAAAAATAAAGTACATTTAACTGCTAACCATATTAAATTTTGGATGAGTTATTGTACTGACTTACTGAAAGCAGCCAACCATTTGACCTTGGAGAGCAGTGCCCCAACAAAAACAGAAAACACCTGTGTGATAATAGACAAACTACATACCTTTATTGTTAATGTTTTTTTAATTCACACGATTGGGAAAAGACCTAAATAGTTTGGGATTTTGAATTACTCTGGTCCTGAAAGAAATGTTTATTGGGTAATGAAAGAGCTTTTTATTCATTGAGAGAATTACTCTGTTTTGCACAGCGTAATCAGACTTGATTACCCAAGTTACAAACAGGTTCCTGAGTTGATTAAACACTAAAAGTATCATTAAAAATGTATTCTAATAACAGTATATTCAATTATTTAAATGTGCATATGTAGAATATTAGAATCTAACTATTTCGTTTTCCTTTTCTCCTCACAGGATTCACAATTTGATTCTACTACTGGATTTCTAGGTAAAACTATGGGAAAACTGAAGATTTTATCTAGAGGGAGCCAAACAAAGCTGCTGTGCTATATGATGCTATTTTCATTGTTTGTCTTTTTTGTCATTTATTGGATTATTAAACTGAGGTGATGCAAGTAAGTGTGAATTTGGAATTTGTTCCAACTTAACGCTTCGGAGTGCCACTTCGGTAAAAAATCAGCATCAGAACATTTCTAATTTTCAAATATTACGGCTTTTTCCATGGAGGATTACTGAATTTTATTTGTTTATAAATCACATTACATAAACAGTGCTCTTTGAATACTGTTGCTTAATAATTCATTTTTTGCCCCTATTTTCAGGGGTATTGATATGGCCCGAAGTCACGCTAGCCCTAACAGTTTTTTTTCCTGTTGTTCGTTGTCAGATTAAATAGCCATACGATACTGTGCTGTTAGCATAAATGTAGGTTTATGTTCCATGTGAATAAACTTAGTGGGAGAATAACAGAATTCCTGGAGAGCCTGTTGCTGAACTCTTGAGGTAGTGAACTAGTTTGTGAGGGAATGGTGTGTGTTTTCCCGAATTACCATCAACCCTGATAATGTACTGCCCTTTCTTCCTCTATTTGCTTAAAATTGTAGGCTGATTTCCTTTTACCTACAGGTTTCCTCAAAAATTTTGATGACGTGACTCCTCTTTCCCCTCTGCCCAATGACCTCATCTTTTACCAAAGCTTGTTATTTTGGCACATTTCTTCTAGGGCCCAAAACAAATGTATACCAGTCTAGTTGTTTTATATTAACTTTATACATACTGTTGAGTTGGCTTATAATAGTTTGGTGATTTCAGCTACTTAGGTAGGCCCTTTGGTTATCATTTGTGACACAATAATGTGAAGCTAAAGTAATTGCTAAGCTCTGAATGGAAATAAAATTAACTGCCTCTGCTTTATTATGTGTTCAAAATAGATATTGAAAGTACTCGGGCATTGAACTTGGGGTTAAGTGTTGTTGCTTTAATCCAGTATATTTGTTTATGGAAAGAAAAACAAAGATGAATAAAAAGAAATATTAAGAAGTTCTTAAATGCTCTGTATTGCTACTATTTGGAATTTGCCTATTTATGGGCTCAAAAAATAAAATTTTTAATGAAATGTATTGTCTTTGTTGCCTCTTTGTTCAAGTCTCTTTCTTTTTTTCAAACATAGACTCTAAGAAATGGTCCTGAAAACAGGTCCCAATCAAAATCTGGGAAAGATAATATATTTGTATTATTTCAGAACTTGTTTCAAACAAATGAGATAAATAATGACTGCAGTTTCAAAAAAATCTCTTTAATTCCCTATACTTTTAGTTGTAGTTCTTATCTTTGATTTTGCAGAGAGTGAATGCTCTTTTGCTCATCCCTAATTACCTATCAGTTCGGGTCCTGTCTTTAGCTGTGTTTGTCGTCATCACTTGGGCCTCTGTTTGACAGAAACACCAGAACTAAGAAGGGTTAAGTGACTTCACATATAAGAAACAGCCCCTCCCCCCCAAAAAACCAAAAAAACAGGCCAAAGGTCCTGTGATATAATGTGAGAGACACTGATTTGAGTTAGATGACCTGAGTTCAAGTCTCCATTCCTTCCCTTGCTCAATGTTTTTGGGCCTGTTTCTCCATTAAATCACCTATTTCATAGGATTGTTGTCAGAGGTAGGTAATTTATTGAAAATATGTGACATGTAATCACGTAATAAATATTAGTTCTCCCTATCGTTAACATACACATCAGAAAAGGGACTTATTTTAAGAGCAAGACAGTATGGTGGTTTCAGGCTTCGGGGTGATGCTGTGACTTCCAGGCAGAAATGCCTCTACATTAGAGATTGGTTCAGTTTTCAAGAATTATTTAACTGTGTATGCTGTGCCAATTATGTGACGTCAGAGCTTGGGAAGACTCATTGTCAATAATAAAAATTGCAAAAGTAAGAGCAGAAAGCCAAAGAAAAAATGACTAGAAGATGGAAACAGAAGAGAATCAACAATGGTTAATGAGATCAAAGTCTTGGGAAAACCAGCCATGGCAAGCGAAGGATAGATCTCAAGGTCAAGTTTTGGCTGTTAGATGACAATCTGTGTAAAGTATTAAAACACTGTTTCAGTGTTGGATATTATCAAGGAGGTGAGACTTTCAGGGAAAGGGGTTTGAGGGGCTGCGAGAGTGATTCTCATCACTGCACTGTCCAGCATTTCTTATATTATGATTCTTTTTTTAGAACTGTCTAAGATCGCTAACCAGCATTTCCTATTACTCCCTCATCACTGCCTTGGCTGAGATTCCTGGCAGGCAGACTGCTCCTCTGGAAGGGCCTGTCCCTGCCCCATTAGAGAGTCTTCTGGCAGCACCTTTCCTCCTCCCGCTTGGGGGACCCCTAGTAAAAAGTGCTCCCAGAAACAAAATTTGGGGGAAATATCAAATATGGAAAAGCTCTAACCCTTTATAATCCTTTACAAACCCATCGCTAATTCTGAAAAGTACCTTATTGCTATAGGTGCCTGGGAAGTTGATTATAATAGTTGAACAGGTAACATACCCACATTATAGTTTTTATTCAAACAACAAAAGACTGGCATATATTTGGGTGATGGGTGATACATTGGTGAAGAAAATTCAGGAAACAATTTATGAAACTCCCAAATGTCCAGATTTTTCTGCAAAGTATCTATTCCATTTCACCATGAGTTAGTCCTTAGAAGTGCTGACACACTTGCAAATGATAGGAAGTGTAACTTTACCTGCATCACCCCCTATGGACACAAGGTGTAGATCTCTACAATGAGCAAAGGGAGAATTATACACATTACTGTAGAATTTAAATTAGCATGGAAATTAATTCATGGATACTCCCTGATTAGAGAATAGCTATTAAACCTAAAACAAATATGCATCATCTTAAACATCAGAATTCTGGAAGAGAAAACCCCAGCACCTGCACCCATAGAGAGCTGCTGGTTCTAAAAAATAAACTAGTTGTCCTAATTTTTCAATGCTCTCAAATTTCAAATTATATGTATTGAATTTGCTTCCTTGTAGAGAGTGTGAGAAAAGTGCTCGATAATTTGGGTACATTCAGTCAGTAAATAACTTCATCAGGCTATAGTGATGAATAACCTTTGACTAAATATTTACTGGGAAGCAGAATAGCATCGTAGCTAAGACTGAAACCTAGGGCGTCACCCTGCCTGAGCATAAATCCTGGTTCCCACTCACCCTGTGAGCCTGGGCTAATGGCCTCTCCACCTCAGTTACTGTATTTGTAAAACAGCAGTAACAGTTGTGGGTGGGCAGTGGTAACACAGCATTACCGTGCTACTGAAGTGCCATTCCTTGTAAAGAAGTTAGAGTGGGTTCCTGGGACTCAGTGGCAGTTCTGGGGTCAGGCAGGACACTTAGGAACCTAATCGGTGCCCCTCCCCCACATGTTGCTGAAACTGTTTTGGCCACTTTCTCCCTGCAGCCTACCCTCCTCCCCCAACACCACCATCCTGCTAGGGCTGAGGGGAGCTCTTTGTCTTCCCTCCGCTAGCCAGAGGTCCCCAGTTTCTGGAATTTAGTTCATTAGGTTTCTTTGCAGCCTCAGCAATTTGATGGGATTTAAAAAAAAACAACAACAGGGACGCCTGGGTGGCTCAGTTGGTTGGGCAGCTGCCTTCGGCTCAGGTCATGATCCCAGCGTCCTGGGATCGAGTCCCACATCGGGCTCCTTGCTCATCAGGGAGCCTGCTTCTCCCTCTGCCTCTGCCTGCCGTTCTGTCTGCCTGTGCTTGCTCTCTCTCCCTCTCTCTCTCTCTGACAAATAAATAAATAAAATCTTTAAAAAACAACAACAACAACAACAACAACAACAACAACAACAAAAACCCTGTGATTTTTCCAGTGTATCTAGCTTATTTGAGTTCTTAGAATGAAAGCAACAGACATCAACTTGGGAAGCAGAAATCTGAAGAGAGAAACTTAGAAAGTCTTCTACCTGTAGAGGTTTGAGAAACAGTTGGTAAACATTCTGTTTCCTTTTACTTTTTCTACAGTTAATATTTTAAAATTCTAGTTTGAAACTTACTGAATTACTGGATGAGGCATGGGGCACAAATAATTTTGCTTTTAACTTACAAAGTACCAACCAGTCGTTCTCAAGGTAAATATTGTTATAGTATATGATAGGGTCTTTTTCTGGAGCATGTATTTTGTTCTATCCAATTTTTTGTCCTTGCACTGGTATCATGCTTTTTAATTCTTGGACTTTTGTAGTGTTTTAATAGCTAATAGATACCTACCTATTCATTCTTTCTGATGAACTTCATTATACTTCAATAATATGTTAATAAAGCATAGTGGATTTTGATAATTAATTAATTAATCTTTTAGAATATCCTCTGAAAAAAATCTCTAAAATGTTTCCCTAATTGGAAGGTTGGGTTTTGACCCCAAACAAATTTCTCTTTTCCTTTCGTTATATGTTAATGTTTAATGGTATAGTGGTAAGCCAGCTTTCTGGGGCTAGGAGTACGATTTATAGTAATTTCTTTCTCTTTGATGTAAATATTCCCACCACACTTGATTTCAAGCTACCTTTGGGACATCTCTGGACACAGAGTTGTGAAAATATATATACAGTTGGCTCTCATGAGCTGGTACAAGCTAGCACTAGTGTACCAGCTATATTGATGATAAATATTCTTTTAAAAGAAGTAGTAAGGGGGCGCCTGGGTGGCTCAGTGGGTTAAAGCCTCTGCTTTCGGCTCAGGTCATGATTCCAGGACCCTGGGATCGAGCCCCACATTGGGCTCTCTGCTCAGCAGGGAGCCTGCTTCCTCCTCTCTCCCTGTGCCTGCCTCTCTGTCTACTTGTGATCTCTGTCTGTCAAATTAATAAAATCTTTAAAAATAAAATAAATAAATAAAAATAAAAGAAGTAGTAGGGGGCACCTGAGTGGCTCAGCCGGTTAAGCCTCTGCCTTTGGCTCAGGGTCCTGGGATCAAGTCCCACATCGGGCTCTCTTCTCAGGGGTGGGGAGCCTGCTTCAACATCTCTCTCTGCCTGCTGCTCTGCCTACTTATGATCTCTCTCTCTCTCTGTCAAATAAATAAATAAATAAATCTTAAAAAAAAA